AGAGCAGGAAGTCTTAAATTTTCAATCACTTTCAAGGGTTTGAACAATCAGCATTAAAACAGTTTATTAATATTATATCGAGAACATGAAAGCATCATTGTGCAAGACTTAGTGACTTGTGTTACCACATGAAAACGAAAAACAAATAGAAACTAGATGGTATTCGAGATTCTCTCGATTACGAAATGCGGTGCGAAGCACACGAGAATCTGAAAAACGAATTTCGAACCGAAATTGAATAATCGCTACAAATAACATCGGAATTCGTTTTCACATTTTACCACTAGATTCAAAGATAATTCAAGATTTTTCTCAGTTGAGGATAATCGATGAAAGGAAAAGATTTTTATTGGATAGCTAATTTAACCAACATCAACATGAAAGTAATCCATTATAAAATTCATCACTTGAGAAACTCTACTAAAAACATATCGACAGACTTCTAGAAACTGTTGTTTATTGAACGATTAATTATCTCAATGATTCATTATCTATAATCAGCTGCGTAACAGCTCAGAGATGTCCATCGCGGCTGAAAATCTGCCGCTGCCGCGCCGCGGTCTTAGAAAAAAAAAGCTGCCGCGCCGCGACGGTTTATAAAAAAATGTTGCCGCGACGCTGCCGCACCGCGATGACTTATAAAAGAAACGCTGCCGCGCCGCTGCCGCGCCGCTGCCGCGATGAATTATAAAATAAACGTGCCGCCACCGCGCCGCTGCCGCGACGGTTTTCAAAAAAGTGTTTCTAATTTCACTGCTGTTACTATATTTGACCAGAGATATGGGTACTAGTCCATCAGATTTATTCAATATCAGGGCGTTTCATTTGTAAATCGTGAAATTCTATTAAATTCATACAGTTTTTCAATGTCCTCCAAAAAAATCCTGCCGCTGCCGCGATGGTTTTTTAAAAAACCTGCCGCTACCGCGCCGCTGCCGCGATGACTTTTAAAAAAATCTGCCGCTACCGCGCCGCTGCCGCGGTGATTTTTTTTAAAAACCTGCCGCTGCCGCGCCGCCACCGCCACCGCGGCAGCGGCGCGGCAGCGGCAGCGGCAACGGCAGCGCCGCGATGGACATCTCTGTAACAGCTGTCTTATATTCAAACAGAAAACAAAATGGCTCCTAACTTCTCTTTCACTTTTCGTTTTAATTATCTCAATGCAAAATTTTGTCAAAATCGTTATTTTGGAACGATATCTTGGGGCGAACTGAATATACAATGAAACATTGGAAACAAGATGTCATCCGTTCGATCATGATACTATCACCTCTCGTTTTAACGATTAAATTGTGATCTTTGGTTCTCGAGATCATCGCGTCAAAAAATGACGAGATATCATGCCTACGTCAATCAAGTAAACTAGATGGTATTCGAGTTTCGACTCGAATACGAAATGCGATGCGAAGCACGAATCTCTCGAATTTTCGAAACAACGGTATTTCTTAGAAAACGAAAATTCGATTGTCGAGTTAAAAGAAATCATCATTTCTGGTTGATTTGTAGACGGACTATCGAACATAGACACTTATCTGTATCATTCGAATTCGAAAAATTACTTTTCCACGAGTCAGCTGATATAAGTAGCGAGAAACTTCAAAAAGCAGCATAATAAAATTCATCGCCACGAGAACTTCACCATTTGATAGATCTCGCTTTGATCTACCGATTAGTATATAATCTGAAGTGGGCTTCGATGTTTCAAGTAAGGAAAAGTCATCTACCATGATCGTAATATATGTATATAACTCAGATAGTCGTGTTCTTTGTTTTAAAAATCTAAATAACCGGGTCATCGTTTTTCTTAAGTGTTTTCATATCAGAAGATGCAGTTTTTCACGGGCTTTCTTCTGATGTCATAAAATTTGTGGCACTCCGCCATTTTTGAATCTCACGGGTCAAAATACTTTGAACAACGTGAAAAAACCAAGCATTTTTTTTTGTTAAAAGTACACTCAATTGGCTGGTTTTCCCCCCATAATGATGTGTCTGACGGGTTGAAAAACACATAGATAAATAAAATAAAGCATTCTCTTTCTTTTGGTAAAAGATAGTACTACGTTAATGCTCGAAATAATAAAGTGATTTTGATTATACTGAAAAGTACAAAAAAGTGACATTTTTTCCTTATGTCTTTCGACCCTGTTTTTAGTGTGTACCTCGTAATTCGGGAAGAGATTGTCAGAATAAGCTCATATTTTGGATTTAATGCTAACTATATAAGGCCTTTCTTTTAAGATAATTAAATCCAAAATCAAAAATTTTTCTCCAGCCAAGTTACCTGGTATTCTGGCGGACACTCTCTTAAATAATTAACCATTTATTCTTTTTTATTTCCTAACACCGAATGTTTTCTTTATTTTTACTAAGAAAACAAAGAGTAAATCAACACCTCTAAGCTTCATTCCTAAAAATCTATCTAACCGCAAATAGGTTGCTTCAAAAGAACTTCTCGTTGTTTTTGAATAAGATATTAAACAACAATTTGACGTATATTCAAGACTAATTTAAAATACAACAAATATATGATATCACTCCCAGTTTCTTCTACTGCACATAGACTAGCCGCTATATTTCTCAATAAGCGATGTATTGTAATAAAGAGAATTTTAGCCATAATACATTCTATTACATTTTATTAATTAAATATTAATGTCGTTTGTATGAACTAAATCTTCGTACATTATGCCGCAGGTATTTGATGGAAATTTTCCATTAAGTATCTTTCACAAAAAGAATAATAAAAGTTTCTATAATTCACCATTATTGAACGTCCTCTCTTCATTTATCCTCCACAAAGAGAGCAGAGGACATTTTATGCAATGGTGATTTGTGTGTATACATGTATATGAAAATATGTGTAGCTTATCTCAACTATCTATCTATATTCAAAGTGTATCAGGTGTTTCTAAATCTGTTATCAAAAGCAGGAGTCCTTAGTTCTCGACCTCTTACTACATGTTAATGTTCTAGATATTTATATTGATATTATGACAGAACAGGAAGATTTAACAATTGAAAAAAGTTCAGTAATAGCAGTTCTTAATGAAAACGGTAATTAAATTGATCCTTAATCATCTATAATTCTCGCTGCAATAGTGTATTTTTTTATGTTTAGGTTTATATTGGCTCGCTAAAGTTATAAATGTTGAGGATGAAAATAAAAATATTGAAATTCAATATTTCGATGATAATACGTTTAGAATCGAAAATACTTCTACACAAATAGTTCAACGACTATCAATATTGTGTACATTTGGAAGGATTCATCACAGCTGTAAACAATTCAAATTGTCAGATGTTTTACAAGCAAAATTAGTTAAACAAGTAGCTGAAGCTCGTCAACTTTTAAGTAAGAGATAGTTTTACTTTGTATCTTATCAAATGTATTCATCTTGTAGCAAATAGTACCAATAACAATCTCTCACAACAAGTTGATCGTATACAAGAATTGCAAGACATCAATGCAACCTTGAAAATCGAAATTGAACATTATA